CCCCCCCCCCCCCCCAGCACCTGTTCTGGGCCTGGAAGGCCTACTGCACCAACCTGGAAGCCAAAAATGGGTGAGTGGGGGTGGGGTGGATGCACAGGAGATGTTCGTGCATGCAAGGGGATGCTTCCAGGTTGGTGCAGTAGGCCTTTCAGGCCCAAAATGTGGAGCGGGGGTGTCCCCCCCCCCCCCCAGCACCTGTTCTGGGCCTGGAAAGCCACCTGCACCAACCTGGAAGCCAAAAATGGGTGAGTGGGGGTGGGGTGGATGCACAGGAGATGTTCGTGCATGCAAGGGGATGCTTGGGCATGTGTGGGAGGCAGACCTCATGCATGGTGTGTGTGTGGACACATGCACAGGATGCTCGCATTGCATTTTGGGGTTTCGCACACGTGCACGTGCGCTTTGGGCACTCAGCACCAAAAAGGTTAGCCATCATTGATTCAGGCTATAGGTTTAGCCCCTCCTGAACAGGTACATATGACCTTAATAATACAAGTAGAGAGGACAAGAAACTTAATGTTTAAAGCAGTCATGAAAATTAATAGAAATAATTAAATAGAAATAATTAGTTATATTTTTATATCACATTATAATTTTTTAAAAATTGTTTTACAGAATCATGTGTGAAACCGTGAGATATGAGCGGCATGAAGCCAATGAAGTTTTATACTAGTGAGTCTTTTAATTTTATATTATTGCTTTTGGGGAACCTTGCATATTTATCTTTGGTTACTTTTTCAAATAGAATTGTGTTGGCTTACTGAGAATAGATGGAAGCATTATCCAAATGACTTAAACAAAAAATTATGCCAGATTGTCGCATCTAAATTAACTTAAAAGTTTCCTAGCTATTTGTATTCTATAGTCACTGAACCATAAGTTTTGGAAAGAAAAATGTATTTCTTAACTATCTTCTTAAAACAAATAGTTTAAAGCAGTTATTATATTGTTTGTTGCAATTTGTTTTAGAAGCATTTTATACTTTTATGCTATCAGATATTCTGAAAATATACTCCTTTTAATATGTGTGATCATTCAAATTTTTTGACCGAAGAGAGGGGAATTATGTTTGATTGTTTCTTACACATAACTGGGTTGTTTTGCATGTGACTACAATTTCCCCAAAGTTTCATGACATTAGAGTTAGCCCTTGTCTTATTTATTCATTTAATGACTGTTCAAAGTTACAATGGCAGTAAAAAATGCCACTTTCCACACTCAAACCTGTTGTAACTTCCCCATGGTCAAAATTTGGATGCATGGCAGCTGACATGCATTTATGACAGTTGCACTGTCTCAGGGTCATGTCATCACCTTTTGTAACCTGACAAGCCAAATCAATGGAGAAGCCATATTCACTTAACAACTGTGTTGCTAAACAACTGCAGTGATTCACTTAATAATGATGGCTAGAAATGTCATAAAACACACTTAACAATTATCTTGCTGAAATGGAAATGTTGAGCTCCATGGTGGGGTTAAGCCGAGGACTACCTGTAGTTATAGACTTAGAAATAAAAACATTTTTTTAATTTATCTAAACTATTTCAAAACACGGGTTCTGGTTTAATTTCATTCTCTGAAATGCCAGTTGAATTATTTTGTGGTTCATTCTACAGATTATTATGCAAAGCAGCAGCATAAACTTGACATTTGCAATCCTATGTACAGTATTTCAAGCATAAACATTTAAAAAATTTGTTGTCTTCATTAATTTTAAGGCTCCCTTGTCAAAAAGTACTGTGGTACTTAAAAGTTTGTGAATCTGTTTGAATTTTCAATATTTTTCATACATCTGACTTAAAATGTGATATGTTCTCTACCCCGGCTCTAAATTAGATAGAAGATAGCCTAAATAAACAAATGTGTAAAAACCATTATTGTTGCTCATTTATTTGTTAACGAAAATGATCAAAGGTACATATTCGTGTGTGGCAAAAGTATGTGGACCTCTAATAATATTAGTTCATTTGAAGGGGACTTTAGAGTCAGATTTTCAATCAATGGAATAACAATCAGGTGTGAGTGTGTCTGTGGTCCAGAGGCAGTGGACTGCTCCTCCGGCAGTTCCCAATCCATCTTCAGCTGACAGGAGATTTTGCAATGTAGACCTGGATCTAGCACGGGTCCTACCGACACCAACTGTGGATGCTCCAGTGATGGCCTTGCAACCTTCGTCTGCCATGTCAGGTGAACCAGAGGAGAACCTAAAGCCAGAAGATAGGAGAACAGAGCAGACACTGCAGAAGGCTCATCAGGCAGCTGTGTGGGTGGTCCGGGCATCCTTGCTCTGGCTTTGCCAGTTGCAAGAGAGGATCCTGCAGATGGGCGTGAGACACACTAGGACATTAGCAAACTCGTGGCAGCGAATCAGTTCTCTCTGGACGCCAAGCTGAATGCAGCCAGATGTGCCTCAAAGGCCATTGTGTCTCCTGTAGTGGCCTGCTGCATGCTCTGGCTATGCCACTGGCAGGCAGACACCCGCCACAAGTGGCGACTTGCCTCAGCCCTCTTCAAAGGGGAACATCTTTTTGGAGACACCATGGACACAGTATTGGTGGAGTCCAGGGATAAGAGAAAAGTCTTGCCGTCTTTCTCTAGGAAAGGCAATTTTTGGGTGTCCCCATATTATTCTCCTTTTGGGCTATGGACACAGGTGCAGGATTCCCCCAGGACCAGGGGAATTACATCCCGAAACAGAGGCAACATAAACACACACACACACACACACACACACACACACACACACACAAAACTTCCTCTTTTAGGAGGTCAGAGTCCCTCTTTCTGTCTTTTCAGCTGTCAACCATGTACAGGAAGGTGACCTCATCAACAGTGGGTCAATGATAAGGGCATGCATTGCCAAGGCATACGAACTTCAGGCCCTACTGTTTCCTCAGTGGATAACCTCCCACTCCACCAGGCGCACAGCCACAACTGTGGCATGGGCAACACAGGCCTCATTAGAAGAGGTCTGTCGAGCAGCCATGTGGTCCTCTCCCTCCCCCTTTATCAAACATAATAAACTGGACATCTTTGCCTCGGCTGAGGCATCCTTTGGCAGGTGAGTGCTGCAGAGTGTTCACACAAAGCGCGTGACTTCGGACCAGACTGTTTCCCACCTGTAAGGACAAGCCAGCTTTGTTATGTCCCATTCCGGGATGCTATCTCCACCACAAAGGAGAAGGGGTGTTGGTCTTACCTGATACACTCCTTCTCATGGAGTGGAGATAGCATCCAGCCCGACCCGAAAGACCATTTGGTCCTCAGTCCATAAAGGGAGAATCTTACAACAAGACATGTCAAGTCTATCACTTTGTCTTCTCCAAAAGCTGGGGAATCCTAGTAACAAAGGCATGTCCTCACAGCTCTGACAGACTCAGTCCAATCAGCTAAGCAGAGGAGGTCAACCCATTCCTTGACGTTATCTCCACCCCATGAGAAGGAGCATATCAGGTAAGAACAATGCTCCATCTCTAAAAAACAGTTGTTGATGTGCACCAGAAGGTGACAAAACTGTAAAACTGGAATCCAAAGAGTTTGGACTCCATCAATCAACTGTTGAGTAGATTATGTACAAATGAAAGCAATTCAACATTCTCCCCATGAATGATTGATCAACCAAGAGAAAACCAAGAACATAGCATTAATGCTTTATAATGTCTCAACCCTGGGTAGTGCCTAAATAATTAAAAGCTTCTCTTGCATTTGCAAATGCCAATGTTATGAGACCACCATTGGGAGAACATGGAACAATGGTGTGTATGACAGAATTGCAAAGAAAAAGCCATTACGTTAAAAAAGGAACACTGCTTCTTGCCTACACTTTATAGAAAACTACATGGATAAGACAGAATGCTATTGGAAGAATAATCTGTGAATATAGGTGTTGCAAATCAAAGTGTTGGGGTTGAATGAAGTGTTATACAGTATTTGGCGAAAGACAAACACTGAATTATGGCATATAAGAACCTCATCCCATTTGTGAAAAGTCATGGTGGCATTAACTAGATTTGGGCACACTTTGCTGCCTCTGGATCAGTACAATTTACTGTTACTGGTGGAAATATGAATTCTGAATTACAGCAGCAAGAAGATGTCAGGATGTCTGTGAATTAAAGTTGAAGAGGAAGTCTATCATGAAGCAAGGCAGCAATCCAACAAGCACAAGTTGTATGACCAAAGAATGGTTAAAGCAGAAGAAGAACGTTTTGACTTTCATCCTGTAGAAATGTTGTGGACGTCCCTGACTTGGCGGGAAGGATGGTGTTGCATTCTATTCCATGACCTTGGAATGGTCAGTGGCTCTCACAGGATGATAAGAAGAGTAGTTTTGATTCCCTTTATCCCAGCTGTCCTTCCTCCTCCCTGAGCTCCCCTCCCCTTGTCAGTTATGGCAGACTGGCATCTGGCAAAGAATAGCTGGTGCAGCAGGATGGCAATCCTGACACCTAAATTGAAGTTGTTTTTAAAGAAGGTTAGGCTAAAATTACTCCAAGCCAATGTGCAGGATTGATCAATAGTTATTGTAAATGTTTAGTTGTAATTAATTGCTGACAATTATCAAGCTAGTTACTGAAAATAAACATTCATATTTTTTTGCCATATAGAAATATGTAACTTTGGGTCACACACCTCAATGAATAAATGAACAAAGATAATGCATTCTTGTTATGCAGTTGACTAATTACTTGATTCTGTTTCTTTTTATGTAGAGCATATTTATGTAAAAATATTGAACATTTAAAAGGGTTCACAAACTTTTAAGGATTTCTACAATCGATCAATATTTTTGATCCTAAATAACTTGCCTTATTTACTGGTTTTGTGGGCACTGGATTGGCTGGCAAGTACAAGTCAAAGTATTAATTTTTACCCATAAAGCCTATTATGGCTCAGCACCCAGGTAACTAAGGACTGCCTACTTCTGGAAGAACTAGTCCATCTGGTATGTTTGCACTGAATATGGATGCTGAATACTGAGTACTGAATAGAGCAAGCTTGATTTCCATTTGTGTGAAGCAGTTTACTATTGGAGATGTAAAATGCCACCCTTCTGGATGGCATTTTAGAAAACATTCAAAATACGGCTTTTGCACAGAGAGTTTAATTAACAATGTTTTTAACATTTATGGTTGCTAATAATGGATGCTAGGTTAGAGTATAAAGATGTTTTATTCATTTTGTTGCTGTAAGGATTTTGTCTTTGGTTTTATTGATGAATTGCTATAAGTGCTTGATTTATACTAGAAATAGTATAAATAAACAAGATAAGTACATTGTTTATCCTATATAAATATATGTGATAAGACATAGTGAAAAAATATCATCCTTAGAAAATTTCCATCTGTTGAAACTAGCTTATCACTAGTACTTATGTGAATTGCAACACTGTTATATACATTTTATTTCATGACATACCAACTTTTTCTTCTTTTAAAACCATACATCCTAAAGTTTTCTTTTTCTTTTTAACAGTCCTGATGATATTGGAACCTGTTGGTATATTCTTCTGTCTGGTTCAGTATTTATCAAAGAATCAATGTTTCTTCCAAGGAGCAGGTATGATCGGAATTCATTTTAGTTTAAATACTTAAAGAGAAATTGGTTGCATCTGCATATTTAAAGATATATCAATTACCAGTACTGCATATTTGAATAGAATATTTATATCTGTGTTTCCAGTTGATAGGAACATACAGTATATCTAAAAGTGTATCACACTGAAAATACAATAGAAAGCTTTATACATGTAGGCAGCTTCTGGTACAGAGCACAACAGTCTAGTCTGGATGTTAGTATGTAGACACAATCTGTTCTTTTTCAAAACTTTATCTGAAACTCTACTTAAACTATGATTTATACTTGATATTAGTTCATATTAATTTTATAATAAAATATATATTTTACTATTGGGAATATAAGATACCAACACATCAACCCCAAACCTGCAATTCAATCACTATTGTCTAAAATATATAACATCTAGATTGCGTATCTTCTGGACCATGTCTATTGACTTTAAAATACTGCAGCATGAAATTCAGCAAAGAGCCTCCTGGCCATGGCTGCTACCTGTTGTTTGTGAAGGAGTTGAAATCTAGGAGGCACACCAAATTGGGTACAAAATTGCCTGAGATAGTGCAATCCCATCCATAACAAGAAATGGCCCAGAATCAGAAGATCCTAAAACCCAAAGTTATTCAGTCTTCCTATGGTTGAGTTGAAGCCTGTTGTTTTGTATCCATATCTCCTCCCCTGCCTCCATTTGATCAGATAGGACATTCATGGCATTGTTTGGAGAGTCCATGATTAAAATATATAGCTTACCCTAAACCAGTGGAAGACCTAACCCAGTGGCTTCATGTAGGTTTTAAATAGGAGAGAGCACTGAAGCCTACAGCATCACATATAACAAGGGCCATGGGTTGGACATCTCTGTTATCACTTTGCTTGGAACTAGCCTGAAAGGAAAGAGGAGAATCAGCAAAATATTGTGCCACCCACTCCAACCTCCAAAACTGGTCCAGAAGGGTACCTCGATCAAGGACAGATGGACAATTTATGTCCCTCTAATGCCAGGTGTTTATTCATTTCAGAAGCATCACAAGTAAAATGAAGCATAATATATGACATAAAATTTTAAATACAAAATTAAAATATGTACAAAGTAAACAGATCTTGTGCCCAAACTAGCAATATTCATTACATCCTGTCATGCTGCCTCAAGTGTACACTGATTGGGACACAAAGAACAGGTATACATATTCTCTGCATGTCACCAGAATCGCAAAGAACATAAATCATTGGATAGCCTCACTTGTTCAGAGTGTCTATGAATCTTATTCAACTCTATATTTCCCAGATTTTGTCAGACCTAGTTGCTAGTTCCTTTGTTGGTTCCATCCATTATTTATTCTTAGTATCTTTCCATAGGTACATTCTGCTTTCAAATTCTTCAATGTTTTCCGTCAGCCTAAGGAAGCTTTCTCTCTGATGAGAGCTGGTTTTAGGCAATAGAGAGGATGTTGTCTAGATATTGATGATTTGAGCCTCTCTATGCTTCTTCTTCTCTGTAAACAGCAGGTAGGGCAATGCTGGCTAGGTGGTAGATCTTATCTAGAGGAGTGGGTTTAAGGCATTTGGAATAATTTTACTAGTTTCGTTCAGAACAACTTCTACGTTTCCAGCATGTGCTGATTTATACAGACTGGGCAGGCATATTCCACTGCTTAATAGCAAAGAGCTTTTGTGCTGGATGGGGTGGAAGTCTGCCAAATAGATCCTATATGCAACTAGGGGATCCTTCTGAACTAGCAATAAGCAGGTGATTGTCATAGCTAACAGAACCTTTGTTCAGTTTTGAGTTGTGTGTCAATTGTGTCCTTGATTGGAAGGCTCTACTTTTAGCTACTCATGGCCTGCCTCCAGAATGGATTACTTTCTACATGAGTTGTCTTTGAAGAGCACCTGGATCTACAACTGGCATAGAATATGGCAGCATGGGCAGTTATGTGTGCTCCCTAAATAGCACATATTACACCTCTGCTCTGTGAGCGACATTGGTTGCCATTTTGCTCTCAGGTTCAATTCAAGTTTCTACTAACAGCAATAGCACTTAGACTTACATGCAGTTTCGCAGTGCTTTACTAAGTGGTTTACAGAGTCAACATATTGCCAACAATCTGGGTCCTCATATTACCGACCTCAGAAAGATAGAAACTGAGTTAACCTTGAGCCAGTAAGAATTGGACTGCAAAGTCCTGGCAGAAGTAGCCTGCAGTACTACATTCTAATCACTGCACCACAATGGCTCAATGGTGACTTATAAGTCATTATAAGTCATTGTAGAGCCGTGGTTGTGGAGTGGTTAGAATGTGGTGGTGCTACATAGCATGGCACCAGATTATTTGACGGACTTCTATTACAACTACCCATTCCATCAGGTCTACCAGAGAGGAATATTATGGATTCAGTCTATTAAGGAATGTCATCTAATGGGATCCAGGAGCATTATTGCTTTGGAACATTATTCCCCGTGATGTTAGATTGGTCCCAAATCTGTTAGGCTTTCAGAAGGCTCTGAATACATGGCTTTGGCATCATCTCTTGAGATTACTGGAGCATGGAGCCTGCAAGTTAGTATCCTTATAATGTAGAATATGTTTAATAGTTTTAATGGTTTTTATTTTAGTTGTTTATTTGTAATTGAGTATTGCTTTTGTTACACAGTTTTGTGAGGCTTCCAGAGTCACAGATGTAAGACAGGAAACTATATAAGATTAATTAATTTTCTGGAAAGTTTGGAATGCTTCATTTTGCTGTTGCATTGCTTTTAAAAGGCCTGTTAAAAATGGAGCTTAATTTTGAATGACATTTTGACTTGCAACCCTTTAGTTCACATTATGACATTGTCTCTGTAGATTATAATTGAGTTATGAGATGAACTATTAACCTATATTAGCAGAAAATGATGAATAGCCTTTAATAACTTCAATTTGCTCAGAGTATGAGTAGGGATGACTACAGTCTGTGGTCCTGACTTAGTCTTCAAGCAGTTTTATCTGGATGTTAGTAGCTTTATGAAGTGTTCATAAAATTGAGTCAAAATTATAGTACTCGTTATTATGAAGTGGAAGACTGCAATCTTGAGAAATTCCTTGTCCTGCCCAGGATGCTTTAATCACTAGCTGTTGCCATCCACATAAGGGGAGATGAAATGTTTTAACTTCCTGCTGCAGAATTAGGTGATGGCATTTCTTTCTTCCGCATTTTCATTGTATATAGTTAAAGTTTATTTCTAGTCTGATTGACTGGAGCAATCACAATATAAATATATAAATATCTGAGCTCATCTTTTTACACTTAATATGTAGGACTTTATATATGAAGAATACAGAGATATAATTCACATCTGTAAAGTTGACTGAACGTATGATCACTTCTTTTAGGAAAATATTCAGTTCCCTCGATAATGAATGTTTATTCACATTGGTTTCAGCAACTTTATCTCAAATAATTGACTTTGTGTACTGAGAATGAAGTGAAATATCCCATGGGGTTGTTTTGGAAAAATGGCTCACTGGATTCAGATACAGTGGGGCAAAAAAGTATTTAGTCAGCCACCAATTGTGCAAGTTCTCGCACTTAAAAAGATGAGAGAGGCCTGTAATTGACATCATAGGTAGACCTCAACTACAAGAGACAAAATGAGAAAACAAATCCAGACAATCACATTGTCTGATTTGGAAAGACTTTTTTTGCAAATTATGGTGGAAAATAAGTATTTGGTCACCTACAAACAAGCAAGATTTCTGGCTCTCACAGACCTGTAACTTCTCCTTTAAGAGGTTCCTCTGTTCTCCACTCATTACCTATATTAATGGCACCTGTTTGAACTTGTTAGTAGTATAAAAGACACCTGTCCATAACCTCAAACTGTCACACTCCAAACTCCACTATGGTGAAGACCAAAGAGCTGTCGAAGGGCACCAGAAACAAAATTGTAGACTTGCATCAGTCTGGGAAGACTGAATCTGCAATAGGCAAGCAGCTTGGTGTGAAGAAATCAACTGTGGGAGCAATAATTAGACAATGGAAGACATACAAGACCACTGATAATCTCCCTCGATCTGGGGCTCCACGCAAGATCTCACCCCGTGGGGTCAAAATGATCACAAGAACGGTGAGGAAAAATCCCAGAACCACAAGAGGGACCTAGTAAATGGCCTGCAGCGTAACAAAGGCTACCTTCAGTAACACACTACTCCGCCAGGGACTCAGATCCTGCAGTGCCAGATGTGTCCCCCTGCTTAAGCCAGTACATGTCCGGGCCCGTCTGAAGTTTGCTAGAGAGCATTTGGATGATCCAGAAGAGGATTGGGAGAATGTCATGGTCAGATGAAACCAAAGTAGAACTGTTTGGTAGAAACACAACTCGTCGTGTTTGGAGGAGAGAGAATGCTGAGTTGCATTTAAAGAACACCATACCTACTGTGAAGCACGGGGGTGGCAACATCATGCTTTGGGGTTGTTTCTCTGCAAAGGGACCAGGACGACTGATCCGTGTACAGGAAAGAATGAAGGGGCCATGTATCATGAGATTTTGAGTGCAAACCTCCTTCCATCAGCAAGGGCATTGAAGATGAAATGTGGCTGGGTCTTTCAGGATGACAATGATCCCAAACACACCGCCCGGGCAACGAAGGAGTGGCTTCGTAAGAAGCATTTCAAGGTCCTGGAGTGGCCTAGCCAGTCTCCAGATCTCAACCCCATAGAAAACCTTTGGAGGGAGTTGAAAGTCCATGTTGCCCAGCGACAGCCCCAAAACATCACTGCTCTAGAGGAGATCTGCATGGAGGAATGGGCCAACATACCAGCAACAGTGTGTGCCAACCTTGTGAAGACTTACAGAAAACATTTGACCTCTGTCATTGCCAACAAAGGATATATAACAAAGTATTGAGATGAACTTTTGATATTGACCAAATACTTATTTTCCACCATAATTTGCTAAAAAATTCTTTCCAAATCAGACAATGTGATTGTCTGGATTTGTTTTCTCATTTTGTTCCTCATAGTTGAGGTCTACCTATAATGTCAATTACAGGCCTCTCTCATCTTTTTAAGTGGGAGAACTTGCACAATTGGTGGCTGACTAAATACTTTTTTGCCCCACTGTATTTGGTATAATCTGGTGCAGTTGAATAGTTCATGTTATTGCCTTGTTTGAAAACCGTCAAGTCTTTCTGAAGATCAGTATCTCAGACCTGGTGCCTTTATGAAACTCCATAAATACTTTACAGTAAACTCTGGATCACATTGTTAGGCTAGAAACTTCCTCTCCCAGGGTTTCCCTTTAAGAAAATGAAAATTATCCTGTAGTAAGCTATTAATTCTGCTGAGAAGAATGTTAATGCCTTAGTTGATTGAATTCAGTAAATGGGATTACAGGCAAATTAAATTGCATCTTCTCCAATGAACTGAAGCTTTTACAAATTTATAATTCATTTTTGCTGGAATAGTCTACTTTGCTGACAGTAAACAGCTGTGAAATGTTTTAGAGAACTCAGGATTATGGTGCTTTCTGAGAGCATTCTGAGCAGAATGTTAGATTCAATTTTTGTCTAGTAATTTGGTTGTGTTATTTATACTTATTAAAATAATGCATTTGTAATTTTGATTTTATGATACTTTCTTAATTGGTTGTATCCTTTTACTGGATTGCTGTAAATGGATATGAGTATTGATTTGATGATGTGTAAATAGAATGGATGAATGGATGGATGAATGAATAAAATTAACAAAATTTTGAAATTATTACTAAGCCCTCCAAAGCTACTTATAACCTGGTTCAGATGCTACTTCCCCAATCATATGACTGTATTTTGAATGCTCAGCAACTGGCCCACATGTGCAGCCTTTTGCTGCAGCCTACTGTCATATTTATGACTTTTGCTGGAAACTAGAATTTATTTCCAATCCCTAGCAAAAACTGACCTACAACAAGTGCAGCATTTGCTTTATAACTGTGATATTTGCTTAGGGATCACCAGAAAAAGGTCACAAAATTGAGTTGGTCAAATCAGGATCTGCTTTGCAACCATCATGACGTACAACCGTAATTGCAAGGCTCAATTATGGTCTTAAGTAAAGGAATACTTGTAATGATAAGCTTTTCAGCATAGCAGTAGAAGGTAAAAGACCAAAGTCCTCTATTAAATCATCTGGTATGAGCAAAGAATTGCTGTATTATCTATACATAATAGCAAAGGTAAATACATCTGCCAAGTTTAGTCAGAGATCTAGCTATCTACCATTAAAGAGGAGTTGGATGAGAAGTGGAAGACACATGTTTGGGGAGATATCTACTGCCAAGCGTCCTTTATAATACTTTTATTTGTATTATTTTATTAAAATAATAAAGCTACTTTATTGTCCAATGCATGAACAGATCAAATGAATTTTTAGTTACTAATTGCCATGTCCAGGTGTTAAGCATAAATAGCAAAGAGAAAGAGCTGCTAGAACTGGAGCCCATAGTTAGGTATTTATACTTATATCAATATTTCTGTTATGCTTATTTTTCCCTTAACTTTATAATTACTATTTGATATTCCTGTTAAATAGTAATTCCTGTTTATTTCACTATTTTAATAAATGAAAATTTAAAAATTAAAAGATAAGCTGATGGCCTGACTGATTTAAAATATGATGTTTTCTAATAATTTGCTAGGTTATGACAATTCAGTCTTTTTCCTTGTCAGAAATCCACAATGAAGAAAACCTTGACCATATCTTTGTTTATTGAACCTTTAATAAGAGATTTCCCAGTGTCCCCTGAGCAACATTCCCTGTTTTATTTTTTTGTCCAGATGAGATCATTATGATGATGTATTCTAAGGGACAAATTATCTGGAATATTTGGGGTATTATAGATCTTGTACAGTGTATAATTAGGAACAAATTGTTATTTTAACTGTCACACATTATTCCATATAAAATACCTTTGGAGTTAGATGTCAAATTCAAGTGTTCTTGCCAGCTGGTAACTGTAAAGGAAGAGTGGAGTCTAAAGAGAGACTCTGCTCCAGAAAGCCTGCAAATCAGTCCACCCTGATTATGTAGTCCTAAGAAAAACTTGATTAGTTTAAATTAACTGCTCACAAATCATCTTCTAAATATATGGTTGGTATTGTGATTATTTAGGAACAGGATTAATAGAAGGTAGTTGCTATCTCTTCTTAGCAATAGCAATAGCAGTTAGACTTACATACCGCTTCATAGGGCTTTCAGCCCTCTCTAAGCGATTTACAGAGTCGGCATATTGCTCCCACAATCTGGGTCCTCATTTTACCCACCTCGGAAGGATGGAAGGCTGAGTCAACCCTGAGCCGGTGAGATTTGAACCACCGAGCTGCAGAACTAGCAGTTAGCTGAAATGGCTGCAGTACTGCACCCTAACCACTGCGCCACCTCGGTTCTTCAGTCAACCTTCATCTCAACCAGAGAATAAAAAGGTCTAGGTAGCATCATAATAATCAGTCGTAACACAATCAGTTTAGAATAGTTGAACTCATTATTTAAATGTGGGGTATTAATGGTAAATTCTACACGCACACACACTTTAGCAATGATATCAGCTAACAGTTATATAGCATTAATTTGTTTAGAAGTTTCTTTGATTTTTCAGATTTTTTTTTCTTCTAAATGTTTTTTCTCTTCTTTAGTTTTGGGAAACGCTCTGCAGGAAGCTTCAGGCGTGGCTGTGAATGCATTGTTCTAGAACCATCTGAAATGATTGTGGTAGGTATAACTAGATTAATGCCGGTAAAAAGACACTTTGCCATATTGTAGCTATTATTTGCCAAAACACATCTGCTAACAATAGAGAGACTGTCTATAATCTTAATCATTTCAGTGACTTGGAACATCTGATAAAGAAAGAAAGTTTTTGTCTGTAGGAAAACAAAAACCCTTAACTGTTTGCTTTGTAGGTTTTAACCCCAGCTCCAATAAAGAATTATTTCAAAAGTGTTGGGAAAAATAAATTGGAGAAGTACTTTTTGTTGTTTTAATTTCTTTTATAATTTCCTTCTTTTTAATAAATTCCATTTTGTTTTGCGTAAATTTAAGCTCAAATTTCAGTCCCGAGTTTGGCTTAGTTTGTGACCAATATATCTCTTCAAACTGTAGGAGGAATGAGGGCTACAAAATAGGTCAGGCCATTTCACAAATGCCAACAATGTGGGGTTTAATTTCCTTATTTTGAACAGTGTTTGGGTAAACAAGTTTGAGTTTAGTATTTGGGTGGGAATATCATGAAATCCCAGGCTGAATTGGAATGTTGAAGAAACCCATCAGAGAAAGTAAATAAGCTAGGGCAATAACGGAAAGGAGAGGGGATAAGGAGGGAAAATAAGAAAGGGTAAAGGAGAGAAAGTAAGGGTGGGGTATTAAGAGTAGGAGAGAGGGTAAGAAAGAGGAGAAGGGAGGAGGAGAGAGGAAGAAGAAAGAAGGAAGGAGAGGAGGAAGGAAGAAGGCAGAGAAGGGAAGATGGAAGGAGAAAGGTGTTGCAAAACAAGATGGAAACAAGGGGTGGCAAGAAAGTGACCCAAACTGTTCTATATATATGTGTGTGTAGAAATGAATATAGAGATTATGATGAATTGACAAATGTTAAATATCAATTATAAGAATGTATATCTAAGAATGAATTTGAAAGGGAAAAATTAAAAAAAACTTTTTACATGGGATGTTGAAGAAAAAAACAACCTTGAAGAAGGTAATGACCACTTCTGTAATGTTGTCAAGAAAACTATAGAGAAGTATCAATGAAGAACATGGTAACAGCATAGATCTAAAGGAAACTATTTTACATGAATATTTTATTACTGTTTGATGCCTATTTCAAAAGGGCAGCAAGTGCATAGCAGCACTAATACATCTGGTTTTTCTGTCAGAGCAATGCCAGAGTGCTCTGGAATTGGAGGAGATTTTGATTCCTCTCGTTCCAAGGACAGACCAATCATTGTTGACTCAATTTCTCAGAGAGGCTGAACCTATTGGATCAGACCATCCCAGGTGACTAATGGACCCAACTGGATCCCAGATGGAACTTGGGGTTAGTTCGGAAAGCCTGTTACCCAGTCTGATTGAAGCTTTGGTGGCTGTGTGGAATAACAATGGTAGTGCCTTTAGATCAGATTGTGCCTTAGTGGCCTCTCCACACCCAGGATTCCTGATGTTCCCCATGGTACACGATGGAGTTAAGGGAACTTAAGTGGATTAAGAGACATCTAGACCATCACTGGAGAAACACAAAGAGTGAAGAGGATTGGAGAAGAGCTACAGCAACTATTAATACCTAACTCACAGCAATAAGGGTGGTGAATACTACTAGAAACTAGTTCTCTTCCCTTATTGTGTTTGCTGGTAGTTGCCCAGCCATCCTCTTCCAGGTGACTTGGTCCCTCCTTGGGGGGAGCAATTCTGAAGTATACCTAAAGAGTTACTGTGAAGAATATGGTGCACATCTGGCAGATAAAATTGGTGCATTCACTCTACATTGGATCCTTAGAGCAGAGTCTATGGAGGTTATGAGGACTATGTCTTGCAAGGTGATCTGGGACAAGTGTGACCCTTTAGAACCTGAGGAAGTGGATATGGCTGCCTCTGCCACGTGTGTTAGATCTGTGCCCCTCTTGGCTAATGAAGGCCTCTTGGGAGGTGATGGATTAGTGGATCTGACCAATAGTTAACTCTTCCTTAAGAGAGAAAATGGTTCCATCAATTCTTAAAGAGGTCATCGTGTGCCCCTGCCTCAAAGGACCATTGCTCAACCCAGCTAGCCTGGACAGTTTTTGTCCAACCTCTCCTTTCTAAGGAAAGTGGTAAAAAGAGTGTTGCATGGCAGCTTCAAAGAAGTCTGGACAAAGCAAATTATCTAGAGCCCTTTCAGTCAGGGTTAGAGCAGGATTTGGTATTGAGATGGCATTGATCATGGTTGGGGATGACTTCTGGTGGGAGCAGGATGGAGGTAACGTACTGGCCAAAGACTAGTTCAGATAATAAACCCAATAAAATTTAAGACAGAGTTAAAATACATTTGTAAAACAACCTATGTAACAACTATAGGTGAGATCCAGGATACATATGATAATATCTAAAGTTCGTTCTCTTTTAAAGCATAGCCTCAGTTGGATTCACTATTTAAAATATTATACATTTTGTAGGTAGTAAACTGTGATTTCATATCCTCAGAATAAAACAAATCTTTGCAAATGCATTGGAGACCATCTGTTAATGTTGCTTAAAATACATTTAAAGTACATTATTACATTTGCTTATTTATTAGGTGGATTACATGGATGAAAATGAAGAATATTTCCAGCGACAAGCTTCACATAGACAATCAAGGAGGAGATTTAGGAAAATCAACCAAAAAGGAGAAAGACAAACAATTATTGATACTGTTGATGCTTATCCTGTAGGGAAGCCACCCTTACCTAGAGGTTATCATACGGTAAGCTGTTAATATTTGTATAGTATATATTACAGTGTAAGTATGAGAATTAGAGCATGAAATTGCTAATCATTAACTTTTTTTTACTGTGAAAACTGATATGATCAAATTATTCCCTGTGTAGAAGTTGCCTTGCTTTTATAATAAGTAGTTATGTGCAGAATGCATGTTAATGTGATAGATATTTAAAGTACAATTTACATTAAATCTTATGTCTGAAGATTCATATCAGTGAATTATTGTTACCCCCTTCCAAAGAATAAATTTGTGGTGTGTTATCTATGTAAGCTTAATTTTACTTCGTCTCTTCTCAACATATTAAACTGGACTATGTATCTTCCACTTGTATGCTGACATAATATTACATCATTTAATAAATCTGAACCAAATCTTTATCATCTGAGAGAGCATTATGTTGCATAATTAGTTTGCAAATGGTTTGGATACTCTAGTTGAAGAAGACATATTTTTACTTTAAAGTTATAATATTTGACTAATGTTTAAAAAGTGTTTGTATTTTGAAATACCGGAGTCTTCGTGTCAGCTAAACTTTGCAGGAGTTCTGTAGTGCAAGAATTATATGATAGCTTATACTGCCCATTTTTCATTATAAAAGTAGGTTTCTGGAACAAATTATATGAGGAAATAAATAAATATACATTGAGTGTGACATTAGAAATATCTTTGGTCACAACATTAATGCTAAGTAGAGTATTTTTTGTGGGGGGGTGTTATTTTTAAATATGCTGGTTTTTTTTGAAAGCTTGAAATGGTACACTACTAACAAAAATATATTTCTCAAAAGTGTTAATTTTATTTAAGAGTTCTACATAAATAATTAGAGGATAAAATTTCCTTTTGCTAAAAAGAAGCTCTGGCTTGTGGCTCTTGCTTCTGAAAGCCTAAACTTTTTCCTGACAAATAGATGGGCTCAAATAGCAGAACTATTTTAACTGATTTGCAAATGAGTTCCTGAGGAGAGAATTACTGTTGAAGAGATTAAGATTTTCATAGAACATATAATAAGAACACAGAATAATAGTGCTGTACATTCACTATGCATATATTAATTTTAAGACTAACACTTCAAGTTAGTCCATGGGTAAATTATATAACATAAATTGCATACAGTATGTATTAACTTCTTTTTATCCCCAATTACAATGTTAGGCATTTCATTCTGTACCAATAGATAATTTGATAACTATTTTCATTATATAAAAGCATGAAGACAGACTTTTAAGTTACATAAAGAAGAATTCGCTTGGGGAGACATGACATTTTATGAGAGGAAAAAGTATTTTAATTTTGTAATTTTGATACAGTGAAGTAATCTTCATATAATGCAGAAAAGAGAATCTTTTGAATTGTTTGGTATCCTTCAAGTGCTCTCTCTGATTCTAAAGTATTGGGGAACAACTTTTTTGACAATGTTTGTTCCTTTATGCAGCCAATTTCTGTTTACAATTATTGTTGGCCTGTAAATGTTTGCCAGTATCAAAAAGCTTTCCTTTATGTTTTGTGAATATGTTGAATAACCCCGATTATTTATTTTGTTTAATAGAATAATTCTCAGGGAAAGGATTGACTTGGTAACTTTCTGTATGATTTTATGAATTCTTATATTTGAACTCAATACCTTTTTGATATGTTTTAAAAAGTATAAAGCAGAAACATTGATACATTTCATACATTTGTCCAAATACACGTTAGGAGCAGGCAGCACTTTGGCTATGGTCCTCATATGTACTCATTGTAAATATAATGCTTCATTACGCAAGTTTCCCTTTTTTTGTCCCTCACTGTAAAGGCAGCAAGTCAGGCTATAAAATAAAATACGATTTACATGTTTGGTTTCTCAACACAATTTCCTTTACTTGATTTATAAAACAAAGATTTGCTGAGGTTGCACATGCTCATTGAATTATGTTTTACAGGCTGAAATAAATAACATATAGAAAGGAAATATACGTAGATGAAATCTATTAAAGAAAATTGACAAATTTTAGCAATACTAGTTTATATTAAATTACTAATATATAACACTATATTAAATGACTAAGTTGCCTAGGGAAAATCCATTTTAAAAACTTCCTTACCTAATAGCAGTAGTTCATAATAGTATATGTTTTGTTATATCTGATTATGTTCATCTTTTCCTTTCCTCCTACATGGCATTCATTTCATTTTGGCTCACAGGAATGCACTAAACAGCAGGTATTGTAACCTATCTGTATGGTCCTTTAATGTTTATTTTTCCCAAGTTTCGTATGTGACTAATGTCTTCATTCCGGCTTGTTGCAAATGTGTGTCATATCCCTATTGTTCTACTACATAGTATATATTTTAGTTTGAATTTAAGTCACAAATGTTAACCCTTGTGGCATCATCATTGTTAGCATTTCATTTGTTGTTGCTGTTGTTCTTTTTGATTGCCCGTGTGGCATCTTTCGTTGTTAGAAGTTTCATAATTTAAATATACAATGCTTAGATATATAAAATAGTGGAACATACCCTTTAAGTATTCTATTTATAAATTTTTCAGTTTTCATTCTCAAGCAGCAGCTATATGTTACAGCTGAGCAACTGAGCTCTGTAACAAATATTACTTTTTTATATAAGCAACTGTACAGATAGTCCTCGACTTATGACCACAGTTGAGCCCCAAGTTTTCTTGCTGAGCAAGACAATTGTTAAATGGGTTGGGCCTCATTTTATAACGTTTATGCCACAATTGTTAAGCAAATCACTGCAGCTATTAAGTGAATCATGCAGTCATTAAGCAAACTTGGCTTCCCCCATTGAATCTACTTGTCGGAAGCTGGCTAGGACAGTTACAAAGAGCAATCACATGACCCAAGGACAGTCATAAATACATGCCAATTGCCAAGCACCTGAATTTTGATTACATGACCACGGGGACGCTGCAACAGTTGTATGTATGAAAACCGATCTTCAGTAGGTGCTGTTTTAACTTTGAATGGTCACTAAATAAATGATTGTAAGTCAAGGCTTACTTCTATATTCAGATTGTAATGAAACGAGATGAAGTACCCATTGCATATTTAAAATAAGATCTGTATCATTTTCATTGGCTGAAAATTGAAATGGTGTAAGATTTTATACCAAAGTAACTAAAATCTATAGCAAGGATAAAGTTAGAGCTATTGCAGCACCTTTGCTCAAGGTTACAGTTGTCCATGTGATCACAATTTGGGCGCTTGGTAGCCCACCTACACTTATGGCTGCAAAGATCCTGCAATTCCCTCAGTCTGGCTATCTCCCCCCATTTATGCCTTGTTGGCTCCCTGCTGCCCTGCACTCCACCACCCCAGCTCACCTTTGCTGCAGTCTTCTTGCTCCTTCTGCTGTCATGTAATGAATCAGCATCTACTTATTCCTGGGTTCTTCTACATCAGGGGTGTCAAACTCCATTTCATTAAGGGCTGCATCAAGGTTGTGTTTGACTTTGGGGGGCTGGGGCAAGGGTGGCCAGGGTGGGCATGGCCAGCTCAATGTCACTCGAGTCAGGGGAGCCTGTGGTGGCCTGAACTCTCTGCCAGAGAAAACAGGCTCCCGAGCTCTGTTTCTGGCTGTGATGGCCTCCTGCAATTCTCTGAACACTCCTGTTCTACATAGATTTTTGATTGATTTTACATTTACTGTGCTGTGAAGGAAAGGAAAGAAGCATTAAAAAATACTTTTAGCAAATATCTGACACATTGCAATTACCTATTTTTAAGAGACATTAGTTTGCAATATTATATATACACGAAGTAGCAATGTAATGATAGATAGATGGATGGATGGATGGATGATAGACAGACAGAATGTGTCTTTGAATCATTGTTGACTCCTGGAAACTGCCTGGCCTGGTCCCTGCAGTTTTCTTGGTAAAAATTTGGAAACGGTTTGCTAATTACTTTCTTCCTAGTGGTGAGTGGCTCAAGGTAATCCAGCTAGGTTTGTACCTTAGGCTAGACTAGAACTGTCTTACCAATGTCAGAAAGATGTTTGTTGTGTTCTCCCTTACCTTTCAGTAAGAGGAGACAAAATGGATCCTCAAAATGGCCTGCCTATTTTGATGGTGAAAGGATGTCTACAGATTCTAATGGATCTCATCAGCACTGTGGATTAAAATCAATGGTGGGATATGACCAGTATGCAGTGTATCAGTGCCTGCTGGGAGCACCAGCTACTGTTCTGGTACGGTGTTTTGGAGGCCCCACCTGCCTGCCCTCCTTACCTGTATTTGAGCTTCCATGCACGAAGCATATGGCGCTTGTGTGATACTGTTCTGGTATGGTGTTTTGGAGGCCCCACCTGCCTGCCCTCCTTACCTGTATTTGAGCTTCCATGCACGAAGCATATGCCGCTTGTGTGATGCTCCGCCTATCAGTTGGAGCGTCGCGGGCAGTAAGTATGCATGCATGTGCTGCACGAATGCTGTGCGCGTGCATGTGGTGGACGCCAGGCCCTGTTGCACCGTACCGGTTGCACCGGAATCTGGAACCCACCACTGATTAAAATGAGGGTAGTTGTTCGTCTTCTCTCTTAGTATTGAAGTAGCCAATGGAGCAAAAGGGGATGTTGAAATGGGTTAAGAAGATAAAAGGAATTGAACTCAGCAGGGGGAAAATAGCCAACAAGATGTAATGAAATTAGAAAGTCTTGGGCTTCTGAAGAAATGTAGATTCTGTGAAAATTCAAATTTATTTTAAGAACAGTCAGGAGGAGAATGACAGCAGCATGGGGACACTCTAGACCTGACTTAGATGTTCAGAGAGGGAAGAGATTCTGGGAAAAGAAGATCAAGGTAGACAAAATAGGTTGTCAGTTAAGTTTAATTAAAGCCCTTGATAAAAGTCTCTGGGGAATTAAATAGTACTTGTACACCTAGTTATAGCTTAACTAGGGATAGGTCTTAATAACAGAAGTATTCTTGCTGACAGAAGGATACCTAATGTCACAATACTAGAGCAATTAACTATACATAAATTTACTACATTCAATCATTCTTTAAAGGAAGACGTCAGAAATATATACGGGAGGATAATATGTGTGAGGCACAGTGGTGGGTTTAAGTTTATTTTACTACCGGTTCGCTTGTGCGCGCACGCTCACACACAATGCTTCTGTGCATGCGCAAAGCGTCTGGGTAGGTGGAAAGAGCCTCCTGCCGCCGCCAATATTGGTTCGCCTGATCTGGGGCGAACCAGCAGAAACCCACTTCTGTTGTGGTGGAGATTGGAACTCTGTTTATATGCATAAGCTAAATGCCACTTCCCCAATATATTATAAATAGAAAAAGTAATTTAATTTGATTCACAACAAGGACACTAGCTATTGTATTTTTTTTTTTAATGAATTCTAACAACTCACAACAAGTGGTGGTAGCATGGTGGGAATGAACAGATAAACAGCAGATTATTTTGAAAAATTGTACCAGGAAAAAGAAATAGTTACGGTCAAAGTTTTGTGCGGGTATCCAGTGTTTCTTGAACCCTGGAAGTTCAAGGTCACACACACACTATTTTTTTGCAAAAAGGTTAACTGATGGGCTAATTAAAAAAGTGGGCATGTCAGATTCAAAGGGGGCCAGTATATATGTAGATGTGTGTATATATATATATGTGCAGAGTGAGAGAGAGTTGGGGGTGGGGAGGGGGGGGATGGTTACAGAGCCCAGTAGTAAGCTGAAGACTTATCAAATCATTTCATAATTGATGATGAAGGAGAGAAACTCAAAGCTAATATAACCTTTCATTTTAACAAGTAAGATAAAAGAAGTAGTGGGATGGGGATGATAGGTTCTAGTACTAAGTCCAAAGTTGTAAAAAACAAAAACAACCTCACAGCATTTGAGGGATAAAAGCAATACAACTACTGTATAAACCCAGGTATACTAAAAGAGTGTATGGGAATATTAATTCCATATTTGCACCATATCCATTAAACAATTACTTATGTATATACCAAAGGATATGTCAATTAATAACGTGGTATAAATAAAATATGTATATATAGTGGTTTATTCAGATATCAAAAGGTGGGAGACCTTAAACCTTACCCTTTGGGAAAGGTAAATGCTGTCAAAATGAATATCATTTGAGATTAATTCATATACTGAGTTTCAGTTCATACACCAGGGAAATATTTTCTTAAAAAATTCTTTGTTTAGAAAATTTATATGGGGTTCTTTGATTCTGAGAATATATTTACAGAAATTATTATTACCAATTAATGAGAGAGGATTTGGTTTCCTAAATCTCAAGCCATACCTTCATACTTACGTAGTGTCAAGTATTGAATGGAAGCCAACAATTGGTATTAATTTTCTAATATGGTCAACTTTGGAATTTACATATATGGTACCTTTGATTGGATAGTCTAAACAAACTAAAACTTTTGTTATCCCTGTAAACAATGATGGCACTTAGGTAACTATGGAATATAATGTCTAACAAAAAGTTTGACTTTGTTTACAACGCCAAATTGATTTTATGTGTAAAGCCAACTTTAAAAATGGTGTTATGGAAAAAGTTGGTGGAAGCAGTCATGTTGACTTTGGACCAATTGACAGGTGATGAAAATGAATTTTGAATAACTCAGTGGCAACTTTTACAGTTACAACATTTATTAACAACATTATTTGGACCAGCAACATTTTCAGCTTCTGAGGCACTAGAACAACTTATTAAATTATTTAAAAAATGCAATTAATGGCGAAGTCTTCTGAAGTTGGTGTGCTGAGCAACAGGGTGATTTTTCTCCCCTGCTGGCAAACAAATGACCTCACTACCAAAGCTGGCTCTTTAGTGGGACACACCCCAGATTCGAATGGGAGTTACTAGGAAATGATCCAAAATGACCTTTGGATGATCATGGACCTACCTGAGAAGAGAAATCTTGAAGATTTCAATTTTCAGTATAGAAGAGGCTGGAGGGTTGGGTCTCCATCTTTTCTTTTCATTTGGTTGTTTTAAGCACACCTTGATTTTGACATCATGTTTGATTCATTTTTAATTTCAATTTTTACTTTTAAATGTTAATGAAAAGTTGAATGCTGTTTTACTCCAACCCTTTGTTGGATTTTAGCACTCAGTAAAAAGAAAGCACAAAGCACTGCTTCCTTTTACTGCTTTATTAGCTGTTGTAAATCATTTTTGTTTTTTTCCATATGGAAGTTGATAGCTATTTCCTGGGTAGTGAAAGTG